GGTCTTCCAGGTGCTGGAGGAGCAGCCGCCCGGCACCTGGGTGGGCACCATCGCCACCCGCCCCGGCTTCACCTACCGCCTGAGCGAGCATCACGCCCTCTTCTCCATCAACGCCACCTCGGGAGCTCTGCACACCCGAGCTACCATCGACCGCGAGAGCCTGGCCAGCGATGTGGTGGACCTGGTGGTGCTCTCCAGCCAGCCCACCTACCCCAGCGAGGTGCGGGTCCTGGTGCTCGACCTCAACGACAACGCGCCCGTCTTCCCCGACCCCTCCATCGTGGTGACTTTCAAGGAGGACACGGGCAGTGGGCGCCAGCTTATCCTGGACACGGCCACCGATGCCGACAGCGGCACCAACGGCGTGGACCACAGCTCCTACCGCATTGTGGCTGGCAACGAGGAGGGATGTTTCCGGCTCAACATCACCCTTAACCCCAGCGGTGAAGGAGCTTTCTTGCACCTGGTTTCCCGGGGAGGGCTGGACCGGGAGGCCACCCCCACCTACCAGCTTTTGGTGCAAGTTGAGGATAAGGGTGAGCCACGTCGGCGGGGGTACCTTCAGGTCAACGTCACCGTCCAGGACATCAATGACAACCCACCCATCTTCAGTCAGACTCTGTACCAGGCACGAGTGCCTGAGGATGCGCCTGTTGGGGCCAGTGTTCTCCAGGTGACTGCAGCTGATGCTGATGAGGGCACCAATGCTGACATCCGCTACCGCCTGGAAGGAGGTGATGGCGGTGGTGGTGGCGAGGGTGCTGGCAGCCTGCCGTTTGAGGTGGACCCTGAGAGCGGGGTGATCCGCATCCGGGAGCACTTGGACTACGAGTTGCGACAACAGTACTCTCTGACGGTGCAGGCCGTGGACCGAGGGGTGCCGGCACTGAGCGGCCGGGCTGAGGCTGTCATTCGCCTGCTCGACGTCAATGACAACGAGCCCCGGGTGAAATTTCGCTATTTCCCGGCCACCTCCCGCTTTGCCTCCGTGGATGAGAACGCAGCCCCTGGCACGGTGGTGGCCCTGCTGACGGTGAGTGATGCCGACTCCCCCGCAGCCAACGGGAACATCTCTGTCTCGATCCTGGCGGGAAATGAGCAGCGACACTTTGAGGTACACAGCAGTAAGGTACCCAATCTCAGCCTTATAAAGGTTGCAGCTGCATTGGACCGGGAGCGCATCCCGGCCTATAACCTTACAGTGGCGGTGGCTGATAACTACGGGGCCCTGTCGCCACCCCTGGGCTCCCCCACTTCTTCCCTTTCCCCCGATGGGACGGTGGCAGCTCCCGTGAGCCGCTCATCGGTAGCTAGCCTAGTGATCTTTGTGAATGACATTAATGACCACCCTCCTGTCTTCGGGCAGTCGGTCTACAGGGTGAACATCAGTGAGGAGATGCCTCAGGGCAGCTATGTGCAGGGCCTGAGTGCCACGGACCGTGACTCAGGCCTCAATGCCAACCTCAAATACAGCATCGTCTCGGGCAATGAGCTTGGCTGGTTTCGCATCAGCGAGCACAGTGGGCTGGTCACCACGGCTGGCCCCGAGGGCGGCACCACTGGGCATGCTGTGGGCACGTCCATCTCCAGCAGCCTGGACCGGGAGACGGCTTCTCAGGTGGTGCTCAACATCAGTGCACGCGACCAGGGGGTGCAGCCCAAGTTCTCCTACGCACAGCTGGTGGTTACCATCCTGGATGTCAACGACAACAAACCTCGCTTCAGTCAACCTGAGGGCTATCAGGTGTCCCTGGCTGAAAACTCCCTCTCAGGAACTGAGCTGCTGGTCCTGAGTGCCACTGATGGGGACCTGGGAGACAATGGGACTGTCCGCTTCTCTCTGCAGGAAGCTGAGCCGACGCTGGCAGGGGTTGGCTCCTCCTCAGCGGCCCCTCGCCAGATCTTTCGCTTGGATCCTGTGTCAGGCAAGCTTAGCACCATCTCACAGCTGGACCGGGAGGAGCAGGCTCACTTCTCCCTGCAGGTCCTAGCCACTGATTTAGGCTCTCCTCCCCTTTCTTCAATAGTCCGAGTTAATGTGAGTCTCCTGGATGTGAATGACAATAGCCCTGTGTTTTATCCTGTTCAGTATTTTGCCCATATCCAAGAGAATGAGCCAGCTGGCACCTATGTGACCACAGTGTCTGCCACGGACCCTGATCTGGGACCCAATGGGACAGTGAAGTACAGCATCTCAGCTGGAGATACTTCCAGGTTTCAGGTCCATGGCCAGACAGGGGTCATTGCAACCAAAATAGCCCTTGATAGGGAGGAGAAAACTGCTTACCAGTTGCAGATCGTGGCCACTGATGGTGGCCATCTTCAGTCACAGAACCAGGCCATTGTCACCATCACTGTCTTGGACACCCAGGACAATCCACCTGTCTTCAGCCAGGGCATGTACAGTTTTGTTGTCTTTGAAAATGTTGCCCTAGGTTACCATGTAGGTACTGTTTTTGCTTCTACCATGGACCTCAATACCAACATCAGTTACCTGATTACGACAGGTGACCAGAGGGGCATGTTTGCCATCAACAGAGTGACGGGACAGATCACCACAGCCAGTGTTATTGACAGGGAGGAGCAAGCGTTTTACCAGCTGAAGGTGGTTGCTAGTGGTGGGGCGATAACTGGAGACACTATGGTCAATATAACTGTCAAAGATTTAAATGACAATTCCCCACACTTTATTCATGCGGTGGAAAGTGTAAATGTGGTTGAAAACTGGAAAGCTGGGCATACCATATTCCAGGCCAAAGCTCTTGATCCTGATGAAGGTGTTAATGGTGTGGTCCTTTACAGCCTTAAGCAAAACCCAAAGGGCTTGTTTTCAATCAATGAACAAACAGGTGCCATAAGCTTAATAGGGCCACTTGATATAAATGCTGGGTCTTATCAGGTTGAAATCCTGGCCTCGGATATGGGAGTGCCACAGCTGTCCTCTAACTTTATCCTGACTGTCTCTGTCCATGATGTAAATGATAACTCTCCTGTGTTTGACCAGCTTTCTTATGAAATTACTATTTTGGAGTCAGAGCCTGTGAATTCTAGGTTTTTTAAGGTGCAGGCTTCTGACAAAGACTCTGGAGTGAATGGTGAAATAGCTTATAGTATAATTGAAGGAAATACTGGGGATGCCTTTGGCATATTCCCAGATGGTCAGCTGTATATAAAGAGTGAACTGGACCGTGAACTTCAGGAGAGATATATTTTACTGGTTGTTGCCTCTGATAGAGCAGTAGAACCGCTCAACGCTACTGTCAATGTTACTGTTATTCTGGAAGATGTAAATGATAATAGGCCCCTGTTCAACAGTACCAACTATGTGTTTTATTTTGAAGAGGAGCAGCGAGGTGGATCGTATGTAGGTAAAATAAATGCTGTAGATAAAGACTTTGGGCCAAATGGTGAAGTCAGGTACTCATTTGAGCATATGCAACCGGATTTTGAGCTGAACACGGTAACTGGGGAAATAAGAAGCACTCATCAGTTTGACAGAGAAGCTCTTATGAGGCAAAGGGGAGCAGCAGTATTTAGTCTCAGTGTAATAGCAACAGATCAGGGGTTGCCGAAGCCTCTAAAGGATCAGGCAACTGTGCAAATCTACATGAAAGATATCAATGATAATGCCCCCAAATTTCTGAAAGATCTTTACCAAGCTACTATATCAGAATTGGCAGCAAATCTCACGCAAGTTCTTAGAGTTTCTGCCTCAGATGTCGATGAAGGGGTTAATGGATTGATTCACTACTCTGTAATCAAGGGAAATGAGGAAAACCAGTTTGCAATAGAGAGTAGCACGGGCCAAGTGACCTTAGTAGGCAAACTAGATCATGAAGCTACTGCGTCATATTCACTTGTCATCCAAGCGGTAGACTCTGGAGCAGATTCCCTAAGTTCAACTTGCATGTTGAGCATTGATGTATTGGATGAAAATGACAACAGTCCTTCCTTCCCTAAATCAGCCTTGTTAGTGGATGTCTTGGAAAATATGAGAGTTGGTGAACTAGTGTCATCTGTCACTGCCACTGACTCTGATTCAGGTGACAATGCGGACCTCCACTATAGCATTACGGGGACAAACAATCACGGGACCTTTAGCATCAGTCCCAACACTGGTAGTATTTTTCTTGCAAAGAAACTGGACTTTGAGACACAATCTTTGTATAAACTAAATATAACAGCAAAAGACCAAGGAAGGCCACCACGGTCATCTACGATGTCAGTAGTAATACACGTTAGGGATTTTAATGACAACCCTCCTAATTTTCCTCCGGGGGACATCTTTAAATCTATTGTTGAGAACGTTCCTGTTGGTAGCTCTGTCATTTCTGTGACTGCTCATGATCCAGATGCGGATATTAATGGGCAGCTAACATATGCAATCATTCAACAGATGCCAAGGGGTAATCATTTCCGTATAGATGAAGCAAGAGGGACAATATTTACCAATGCTGAGATAGATCGTGAGTTTGCTAATCTCTTTGAGTTAACAGTCAAAGCCACTGATCAGGCTGTTCCTGTGGAGTCCAGACGATTTGCTTTGAAGAATGTGACCATTTTGGTGACGGATCAAAATGACAATGTTCCTGTTTTCATCTCGCAAAATGCTCTTGCAGCCGACCCTTCAGTTGTGATCGGTTCGATCCTCACGACAATTATTGCGGCAGATCCTGATGAGGGCGCCAACGGAGAAGTGGAATATGAAATAATCAATGGAGATACTGAAACCTTCATTGTGGATCGCTATAGCGGAGATTTAAGAGTAGCATCAGCTTTGGTGCCTTCTCAACTCATATACAATCTCATAGTTTCTGCCACAGATCTTGGCCCTGAAAGGAGAAAATCCACCACCGAGATGACTATAATTCTGCAAGGGGTTGATGGGCCCGTCTTCACTCAGCCGAAATACGTAACTATCTTAAAAGAGGGGGAGCCTATTGGGACAAACGTGATATCTATTGAAGCGTCAAGTCCGCGAGGCTCCGAAGCTCAGGTGGAATATTACATTGTGTCTGTCCGATGCGAAGATAAGAGTCTCGGGCGCCTCTTTACCATCGGACGCCATACCGGTGTCATCCAGACTGCTGCCATTTTGGACAGGGAGCAAGGAGCGCGTCTCTACTTGGTGGATGTTTATGCCATTGAGAAGTCATCTGTTTTGCCCCGCACACAACGAGCAGAGGTAAAGCTTTTTATTCAGTAATTATTTACCTGTTTGCTTTTTAAATGAGCCATTTTATGTATTTATTGTTAGCTGTTTTACAGGTGGTAGTACACAGCAGAAGACCCGAAAGCTAAGTCTGCTGTTTATTAAGGATAACTGTTTAATTAGTGTATGTCGAACTGTTTTCCCAAAGCTGCCTCTAGAAATTTGGGTCAGGCTTAGGTGCAATGCTTAAATTTGGCTACTGTAGACACAATGTTGGTTGAATAAATTTTAGGTACTAAATACTTCAGGTCCTAAAAGTGCTAATCACAGGCATTTTGGAGTTTTGCATGCCTTCTCATTTTAGCAGTCATTAATTATTTTAGTCTTTCTATTCCTATGTGGACAGTAACTGAACTTCTTTCAGTAGTCACTGTGTCAGTATTTGAGAGCTGGCCAGTAGGGGATTGCTCTCTGAACAGCTCATCTAAGGTCTCAAGTCTTGGATGTGCTTGATGTCCCTGCCTGGTTAAGCCTATCAGATAGGTCTACTCGTGCATCTACAATTTAGGTTACTTCTTCACCCTCACTGATGAGTAGGGAAATGGTCTTGTTTCTGTTCTTGGATGTGGCAGCCGGTAAAAGTGTAACATTTTAGCTGGCAGCTTTCCATATCACAAAGCTGTTTGCTTTGACTGAAGGGTCTTCAGATGTTCTCTGCATGACTAGCTTGAGGAGCAAAGGGTGGAAAGCAGGTTTGAAACACCATCTGTGAAGTACGTATTTTATTCACTCTGCCTGGTAATTGAGCCACAGAGCTCATAGTTGACACCATTCTTGCCGTTTTCTATGGGAATACGGAGAAGCCTGTGTGTGCTTTCAGTTGCCCCATCTTCTGGAGCTGCCTTCCATGCTTCACTATGAGCCATTTAATTTGCATTTCCTGGAAGTTTGGGGCTGGCACTGCCGAATGGGTCAACCAGCAGAGGATGCTGGTAGTGTGTAGTGGTTCAGCCATTTCCTTTGCCAGCTGAACGTATTACCTCAGTATTGCGTAGCCCTGTGCATCCCAGGTGTTACCCCCAGCTATATTTCCTCTTGGGAATTATGTCTTAGTTTTGAGCCACCAAGGATACTCTAGTGTTTTTCTTCTTTTTGATTTTAGCAGATGTGATATTTCTAATGCTTATCAGCTGTAGCTTTTTCTCTTCATAGCAACTTTCTTGTTGTTTTTCCTGTAGTTTAAGTATGATCTGTATATGTATGTAACCTCACTCTCCTACACTGGCAGTAACGGCTGCTCTACAAATGATTGTTAGGCAGGGAGTTTGAGCACTGTTCAAACTCAGGTTAAGAAACCTCGCATGTATGCGAGAGCTCATCTTAGCCTGTGTGCTATGTGCTGTTGATGATCGTGTTTTGGAGAGCAGTAGTGTATTGGAAAATGACCAGTTCTAGTAGTGCTGCTGATTTAAATAATTCATGCTGTTTTTATGAGGATTCCAGTTATATAGGTCTTTGTATTTCTGCTAGTAATTTGTAAAACAGCAAACCTTTACAATTTTTTTTCTTATTATGTCATATTTTGTCTTGACAGGCAGTTGTTTTTGATGGTTAAGCCTTTGTCAGTGATATTTGGGTCACAGTCCTTCTACTTGGAGTTTGCCCACATGATCAAGAAGTTTCTTGACTGGAGAAGGATTCATAGGAGACCCCATGGTTCCAATAGTCTTGCACGTTGTAAAAGTATTTAATACGAGTATTTGGTGAGCAGGGAAGAGAACAACCATTGAAATTCTAAACAAATTTTACATTGTTGAATATGAACCACTTCTGAAATCAAAAGCAAATGTTTTATTCTGTAAAGAACATTGAAAGCAATAGTTGGGAGCTAGGATTTTCTATTACTGGTTGTATCTTTAGAGCATCTAAAATGCTTCTTCTCCCAAATGTAATTAGCTAACTGTGCTTCTTTGGAAATATATTATAAATTATAATCAGCTATCAACTTTAAAAAACATAACCATATGTAGTCTTTCTCTGGACTGATTGAATTTCTGTGGAATGGCTTTTGCTGTCTCACACTTGAACAAGAACTACTATAGTGACATTCTTTGTGCAAGCTGACTGTCAGTGGGTGCTGAATAAGCAGTGCAGCTTTTTTCCATGTTGCTTTTGGCTGGCAACTTTTTTTTTTTTGCTTTTGGTTTGATGTATGCAGTGCACACATTTTGGTCTTGGAGTTGGCTGCCAATCTTCTTTCATAAAAAACAGCTAGTACCCAAGTGCATGAACACTTACCTTTGGAAACCCACCTTAAAGCAGATACCTGCAAAAGTCTTCATGCATCAAATGTGTAATTCAGGAGGTTTAACTTTTTATGCAAGTCCTCTGGCATCACTGCCAGTCCAGTGATGACTTGAGTAGTGGTATAACCAGAGTACTGACGAGGGACGATGAATGTGTGTGAAGCTCTAGAATATCTAAAGAGCCAAATTTTAATAATGTCTTCAACTTTTTTTTGGTATATACACGTCAAGATGAAGACTGACTGATTTTTAGATTCCCCCTTGAGAAGTAAGTTGTAAAGCACATGTGCAGACAAAACCTTATGGGCCTGGTACCACCGTACCTGACAGCTTTCTGAACATATAATCTGAATATAAGTTTTGTGGTTTCCCCCTGCCCCTCCTTCCCAAGGAAAAAGCTTGAGTATTGTGTATTTTCTTTCTTTCTTCTCTTATAAAAAATCTGTTGGATTTTGTTTCTGAATATGGTTAAGGAAAAGGATATGCCAAACTTTTATATAATTCTTCACTGCCTGCTACGCCTTCTTCCCTGGTAGCAGGCATCACCTTAATTGTGCTGTGGTACATGAGTGAACACTGAGCACTCAGAGCCACCCCGTGTTAAACTTGCTGGCTGAGATTGATGAAGAGAGCAGCAGTAGAAAGAAAGTTAATAGATCTTTTTTCTAATGCAGACTTTAGGAATAGATTTGGGTGGCTGATGCCTAGTGTGAAGCAGAGATATTTACAGCTTCAAAGCAGTGGCTAGGCTTTGTCTAGCCAGCAGACAGTATGAAAGAAGAGCAGGCTTCTGTGAAACCACTTACTCTAGAAGCGAATCAATCCTTGTCCTTGGGACATAGTGTGATTTTATTTTTTCCTAAATTCTGTCACTAAACTCCACTTTTTTTGATACAGTTGATAAAAAAAAAAAAATCCACCCAGTGCTCCAACTTAAAAAGTCTCTTTCCAGTCTTTCTCATCCATCCCTGGGGTTTGCCCTGTAGGATCAGACTGTAGATCCACTGATTGTGTAGCTGCTGGGGTTGGATACTAGCGCTTTCTGAAGAGAGGGTCGAAGGGGAGAGCTATGCAATGTCAGGACTGTGGTGAAATCCCCTTCTGAACCCAAAGCAGGGGACATGCCTTGAAACTGAAGGGTTACATTGTATTTTCAGTAAAGCAACAGCAGAGAGCTTAGAAAACAAAGAGCAGTTTGTTTACAGTTTGTGGATTTTTATTTTTTTTAGCACTAGGGTGTATATTTGTAAATGTTTCTGTGTTTGTTATTACTATATGGAGAGAACAGTTGAGGGGGGGGAGGTGGGGTGTCAGAAATGTGCAAGTTGCGAGACAAAACTTCATGTTCAAAGTACCAAATACTTTGCAAAGAAAACCCCAGTGCTTGTTCCATTGTATTTTACAGCTAAGGGGTGTAATTTTGAATAGATATTATTTGAATTTGAAAGCTTTTTTTTTTAAAGTTTGGGCTTTTAGCCTATTTCTTTGTAATCTACAATGACAAACCAGATGGTTTGACATCGTGTGAACATGTTCTGTGATCAGTCTTAGTTTTTCCCCCTCTTGTATTAGTCATGAGGTGTTGCGCTGCTGTTCTTGGATAAGAAAAAAAATAATGGAGGTTTCCTGAAGGGAGCCCTTCTGTTTGCCATTTTATGCATTTTTATGTGTTTCGGCTGAAAGAAAAAGCTCGGCAATTCCTTAGCTCCTTTCTCAGGGCTCTCCAACATAAATTCTCTTTTAACCTCTTCAGGCAAGGCTGAGGGTCTCATGGTTGTGATTTTATATTTAATATAAAATGACTAATGCGTACTAGCATCGCCTGAAAACCAGGTGACTTTATTCAATCCTGCCTCCCAAAACAATGATTGTGTGCTGTGGGATGTTTTGGGTGGTCATATGTTGTACCCTGTTTCTCGGCTGGCAGTAATAATAGGAACCCAGGGACAATACCTCATCTTCTGTGCTGTGTTACTAGGGATTAAACGGAATTAGACAGGATCTCTAGTTTGCATGTTTAACCCTTGAGTGGACAGCTTCCTTGAAAGGAGCAGTGGGTTTGCTAGGGAGCAGTGGTGCTAACCTGTCTATCATGTATGATAAATGAGAGAGTAAAATTTTCGAGCTGAACATCTCTCATATACTTTACACAGGTTCATAGATTCCAAAGAAGGATGAGAAGGTTATACATGAGGAAAGTGTGTAAACTTTTAATGAAATATCTAGAGATGGTATTGATTTGAAAATGGGAATGCTTGGAGAGGCAGATCAATGATCCTAGTAGCACTTTTTACCTGTGAATGTTACCATGCTCTCAAAAGAGGGGTTATTGTCTTCATTTTCAGACAGGGAAACATGGGGCGCTGAGTTTTCTTTTGCATTTGTACATTCATGGCTGGTTCTTGTGCTACGTTCCATGACTGGCACTATTGGGAATCTTGGACTTCCACATTGGGGGAAGCTTTTATCTCCCAACTTGGATTCATAGTCTAGGAAAAAAACTCATTTGTTCTTTAGTCAGGCAAGATGTGGAGATTTTGGACAATGTGTACTGCTGGTATGGTAAAGATCTGGAAGTTAATGAAGACGGGCAGAAGGAATGGCCCTCTCCTCCTGGAAAGAAAAATTATAGAACATTTTGCCTCGGTTCAGTGTGAACTGCAGCCATAGCCTTAAAAATGCAATTGCATGATGTAACTAGTTTATGTGGGGCTTTTAGACTCAGCT